ATGCTGAAATGGTTCTTTGTGTTAGAGCTTAGGGTTCTTTATTCCCGCCCTTTGGTTTTTCAAATCTGTAACTGACAAAGCACTTCATTTCTGATTTTCTGGAGTTCAGTGATCCAACCACACAGACTGTCAACACACCCTCAACAGGTAAATGATTTCATTCTTAAAATTTAAATACAAATTTAACTTTAAAAATGTGACTGGCTTCCAAACAAACATGTTCTTATCTCTTTTATTTGTATTTTTTAGTTTTTGGTCACATATAAGTGTGTGCAGCTTTGCTAAGCTGTGGAAATGTCTCTCCTCTTCTCCACTAAGTAAGTAAAAGAGACAATGAATTTATAATTCATATAGTTAGATATTTTTTATTATTACTTGGGTTTATATAAACATACCCAGTCACAATAAATATTAAAACTATCCCATGACTTTATATCACTTTTTTCTTTTAAGATTTTGAAGGGCTCACATACTGTCCATTTTTGCTTTTGGTCTTCATAAGTCTTCACTAAGTAACAAAGATATTGAATTTTTGGTCCATTTTGTTAGATATTTTTTATTACTAGGGTTTATGCATAAACATACCGAGCTATCCCTTGACTTTATATTACTTTTTTCCTTTTAACATTGTGAAGTGCTCACATTGGCCTTCATAAACAATTGTTTTCACATAAACAAATGAAAGGAGACACATTGTAAGTCTAAACTCAATTATGCAGTTCAGATGCTGTTACATCCTACAACCTCATCATCTGCAGAGAGAAACAAAAAAGGTTATTTATAAAACCAATAAGGTCCTATATAGCATTTTCAAAGCATGGTTCTATATGGAACCCTATAAAAAAGGTTCTATTTAGCACTAAAAAGGGTTCTGCTATTGTTACAAGCCGAAGAACCCTTTTCTGGTACTGTTTAGAACCATTTTTCTTAAGAGTGAACTGTTTCTTGAGCAGCAAATCAGCATCTTAGACTAATTTCTGAAGGATCATGTGACTTTGAAGTATAGATGATTTATATTTTATGAAGGAGCTTATCCTGTTTGGGAGTCCTTATCTTCAATTTGTTTTAAAAAATATTTCCAGAACAAAGGCTGTTTAAAAAGTCTGCGGTCAGTTTGGCTGGTGGAAATTACATCTGTGACACAGTGTCAAGTGCAGTCCTACAGTTTTTACTATACAATTAGCCCTTTCAAATCCTCACAAGCCTCTTTAATGTCTAAGTTCTACATCTCTATGGTAACTGGCAATGAATTGGTGCAATTCAAAGCCACATGCACCATGGCAATCACCCAAAAACACCCACAACCATCAGTGCTCACATCGTCCAACACACACGCATCTACTCTAATCTCTCCCCAGTGAAATCCCAAACAACTGTACTGGAAGATAAATGAAAATGTGGGTGGGTTCTGGGATTATCACTATTTTTATAGGGAATGGGATTTTCTCCACATGCTTATTGCTAAAAAAGTTTTCTCCGTAACTGGATGTAAGTGGATCCAGTGCTAAACTGCCATTAAGAATACACTTCAAAATTATGTGATTTTAGCCATGGTCAAATGCATGGCTTTGAACCACTGACCTTGGCACGGAACTACAGGAACAGTGGCCTTTTGTCCAATGAACATCAATCTTTGCTCCATTAAAATCAATGGAACAGGACTGTGTGCTTCACATGTAGTCCTAAAGAAAACACCCCTAATAAAACTGCACTTTATTCTGTAACACAAAGTGATAAACATACCTGCTGGACCCTGGGCCCCAGGAGAACCTTTGGCAGGTGGTGCCCCCATCAGGAAGGAGGAGTCAGGTTCATTTTTAAACTGCGTCTGTCGATGAGAGGTGGAGACAGGGGCGGTAAGAAGTTGCACCTGGAAGAAAGAGCAACAGGAAGACAGAGAGAGAGAGAAGGCACAAAGGGTGATTGATTAAACTGTGTTCAATGGGGATTGTTTCAGTGATAAAGGAGTACTGGAGTGACGAGGACAGAGCATCATAAAACACTGAGGTAGAAATAAATAAAGCTACCAATGGATGCAATTCATTCTTAGCGAATTTCCCCTGAAAGAAGCTCAAAGTGAAAGATGTGACGTTACCTTGGCCTCCAGAGAGCTAACACGATCTGTGAGGGCTGTGATACGACTGCAATTCAGACAGTCTGAGAGAGGTGGGGGGAAAAGACATGTCATAATCAATTAGATCAATAACAGCTTTCACAGTGTTCTTTCCAAAGCAAGTTATTTTTAAATATAGTGGTGTTGTTTTCTGCAGTATGGATTTTTTTTTAGCACTTTAGCACTTATCAATTTTTGATGAAGAATAAACAAAATGTGCATGCTGAAAAACTAATCAGGAATCAGTCCGAAAATATGCAGTTTAAAAGAACTGTGCATGCAAACTCAAAATAGCCAACACAAGTGGGCTGTTTACTGTTACAAGCCAGTTTCATCATTAAGTCTTGCAACAAAGGGCCTTAGGTACAATTTATAACAGTTCCAGATGGACAAGTTCCTTTAAAGGTGTTTTATGAATGCTTTTGTCTTAATTGGGCTTTTTCATTGCTGAAGTCAAGTGGAACATATTTTGAGTTGATAATGGAGATTTGAGGTTTGGTTCTTACTTGAGATATGTTCTCCTGTTTTAGAAGCAGCTTTCAGAAGTGTAGCCTGTTTTCTTACAGCCTCCTGGGCAACCAGGTTACTTGATGATCCTGCATACAGAGATTAAATTGAAAAAATGAAGACAAGACCTCAAATAAAAAACAAACAAAAAGCATGGTATTGTCATACAATAAACAGTGTCTCCAAAAACGTTTTTTGGACAGTGAAATCACACTTGTAAATGTATGAGTACTGTTCAAATTTTTGGCATATGAAAAAAAGCATATGACAAAAATGCAGCCTTAGTGAGCATATGAGAAACGTGAAAAAAATCTATACACCCCCACATTTTTAAACGCTACTATACTTTTTCCCAAGTAAAACATTTACATAATTTTGTTAGGTTTCCAATCATACAGTAATTCAATACATATGCAGTTCAAAATTAACCTAACCCTGTGTCCACAGTTAATCTGATGAAAAACACTTGTGGTTACTTTGCTAGGATTGTGTGAACTTGGGTAGAAAAATGGGTAGAAAAAAGAAATTAATTTTAGCATAATTTTTTGCAGATACAACATTATATTTTGTTGGTTTGATATTGTTTTTTTATTCAATGAAATGCTAATATTGTACTTTGAGGCCACTTTAGGTATGAAAATCATCATGAATAATCATGCAATATCCCAATATACAACTGACCAACAACAAACGATGCGCACTTTGTTAGAAGCCAAAAATTTTTTTCAGAATCTCTGTGCTCGGGATCGAATTTGAAACCAAGCAGCAGTATATATTTAATTCCTGGCTTTTGCTCTGTATTGGGATAGTTACGCTCTGAAAAGCACTAATAATGCTGCTTCATATCTGCAGAGACAGGAAAGGCACAGAGGGGCCTCCCTGACAGGTAAGCCCACACAGAACCCTGGCACGAGGGGAAGGGTCCACAGGGGTGGGCTGAACAGGATACAAATGTGCATGGAGGATCCAGGAATCACTTTTCATATGAGAAACGCATCTTTAATAAATAATAACTGATTTCTGGGTTTTGGCCTACAAAAATATGTCATCTGTGCAGCACTCTACTTTATTGTGCAAAATCATTATACATTTAAAAACAATGGTTTCCTTGTACTGTTTAAATGGACTTGAATTCACTTTTCCCCAACTCCTCTTTCTCCTTCTCTTCCTCTATGTCTTTTTTAAGGTAGTGAGAAGTTTTAATACTCCATGGACTGACCTGTTTCAGATTACTTCAGCAAACGTATCTTATATTAGGCAGTTTGTGGCTAGCTCAGGTGCTCCAGACATAAACAACTGACCCAGTTCAGAGCTTCATTACTGACTAGGGACAGGAAGTCTGCTCAGCCGCTCTGACGTAGCTAAACCACAGCAGCAGCAGAACCAGAACCAATGAAGTGGCACCTGCATGGCTCTCAGACCTGGTACAGGAATCCTGGACTTGGAGTCTCCGACAGAAAATGTAATGGGTTCACATGAATAAGTCAAGATGTAAGAAAGATACCGCAATGGGAAAAGAAAATGTTTACTTTTTTTTAGCTACCTTGGTGGGTAAATCAAAACAGAATTCAAAGAGAAAGACACAATGTTTTGTGTTAAACAGACCTCACCAGCAGAGAGAAGGGGATGGTAACGGTTTTGCAGTTAAACCGTGAAACCTGGGATAAATGTTCCCTTCAGGAACCTCCTTTGATTTACTTTTTGTGTGTGCGGGGGAGACAGAAAGGAAATTTCCCATAATACATTGCTCTTACCGATGGTTATGTTTTGTTCCAAATGTCCCTGTGATTTTAAAATATAGACCTTTCCACCTCTCTAAAGTCTTTTTCCAAAAGCAACTCTACACAAAAAGCTAAGCGAACCACACGCAAATGCTAACAGCCTTTCATCTCCCAGCAATGGCACTAGATGAGTCTTTCTGTGGAACACAAAAAGAGACATTTTGAACATTGTCCACACTGCTCTCTTCCATACAACAAATGCATATAGGGGCTGTCAAACTTTTGTCTACAAAGAACAAAAAAGCAGCAGCTTTAATTGACTTTATGGTGCTTTTAGGTCATTTTTAGAACTTGCCGTTTATTGTTGCTTTATGGGAAAGAACAGCCTGATATTCCACAAAATATCTTCTTTTGTGCATGGATTAGACGCAGGGATGAGAAGATAAGAGAATTTTCATTTTTATGTGAACTATCCCTTTAACGCAATCCTAAATCTATATTTAAATTGAAATATTTGAGCTGAATATATCACATTCACATTCAACTTAAGAATACTGAGCTGAGTGAGAGTTCAACCACCCCCAGGTTTGTAATATCCCTTCTCGGACTATTAATATACTTCCCCTTAAGAGTGCCAAGAGTCACGTCAACCTGCAAATGTATGTGAGATTGACCTCTCACCCCTGGGTGTGTGTGGATGTATACAGGTGGGAGTAGCCATTGATTTTATTGGCAGGTTTTTAAATAACCAAGTTCCTTCTTAGTCTTTAAGGAGCAGAGGGGCTGGTGACATCAGAGCATGTGATAAAATCTAACTCTCTCAGCTCTGAGAGGTCAAAAGAGGTGCATGTGAATGTGTGTGTGTGTGTGTGTGTGTGTGTGTGTATGGTAGATAGTTCAAAGGTTGAGTGCTCTTAACACCATTGCGAGGTCACTTCCTGTTAAGATGCTTGGGAAAAAGTTGGACAAGGTTATCGGCAAGTTCATTATACTAAAATATCACAAAGGGGAAAGAGGATCCCCAGCACTGAAAAAAGGCAGTGGATTCTCTTTTTGCTTTCAGGAACAGCATGAAGTGTAGGAGTATTTATCCTGGGAGGTTTTCCTGTTTATCAGCTTATATACAATTACAGAAGTTTGTGGAAGGAAGTGCCTAGAGTTTGTGTGTGTGTGTCTGAGGCCTGAGTTATGATGCAGTGTGTGGGAATATGTGTAAAGTTATGTGTGGGTGCATTATTTTGACAAACTGTCCAGAATGGACAGAAAGAGAGTCGTCATACAGAGATCATTCACTTCAGTCTCAGGTTAAGGGCATTAGGACGATGACATTACTGATCTTTCATTCAAGCAGCAGAGGAAATATAGGAGTGTGCCTGGAGAATTATGGGTATGCAGCGGGCCACTATAACTCACAGTAATATTGTTTCTTGCTTAGCCCCGAAATTATTAATGGCCCAAGGTCAGCCCTTAATTCTCCTCTCAAAATAAAAATAAACCTAGGCACACGGTCACAGGATGGCACAGAAAGTTCATGCTCTAGAGCAGTGATTTATTGCCTACTAAAATAACAGGAAAATTAAAGGGTTAGTTCATCCAAAAATGAAAATTAGGCTGCGTTTTACTCACCCCCGAGGCATCCTAGGTGTATATGACTTTCTTCTTTCAGACGTATCCAGTCGGAGTTATATTAAAAATTGTCTTTGGGATTTTTATTTAAGTTCTTTTGGACTGAAGCAATGCAACACCCGCTGAGTGGCATTAAACAGCTTGAAAGATCAAAGACAATTTTTTATATAACTCCGACTGGATTCGTCTGAAAGAAGAAAGTCATATACACCTAAGATGCCTCGGGGGTGAGTAAAACGCAGCCTAATTTTCATTTTTGGGTGAACTAACCCTTTAAAGGTCGATAAGAATGGGGAAAAATCTACTAAACCTAGTCCTAAAAAGTGGCCAAAAACAAGAATTTGCCATGTTGCAAATAAAAGTGTTGGAGTTTCTTGAATAATTATATTATTCAGTTTTTAAAGAAAATTTACTTTGTAAAGAAAATTTAAAATGAATTTAAATAAATATTAAATAATACATTAAGAAGTATGTTTAAAATTATTTTTTAATTACACATTGAAATTTATAAAAAAACATTTTAATTTTATTTTATATTTTTTATTATACATTTTATTTGATAATTTTTTTAATTTCCCTCAGGGTGGTTAGAGTCTCATATTTAAAGAGTCAAGCGCCACTATCTGCATTGCAAGACAAATTCAGTATGAAACAGATGATTATGGAAAGTGATGATTATGTTATTCCTCTTCACTCATACTCCTAATACTGAACTACAATCAGCTTTGAGAGTCTAGATGCATTAGCTGATCTAAAACAAGACCACATCCAAATCCAGTCCATTTACAAAGACAATACTTTGCTGTGTTGACTGAACATCTGAAGGGTTTAGAGCACTATTAATGGGGTTAGAGTCCAACTGGCTTCAAACTAAACAGAGACTTTATTTAACCTAATTAAAATCTGAGTATAGTAGAGAGGAGAAAATAGCACACATCTGTAGATGAACAGGACAAAAAAAATGGAAAAATAAGTCTCCATTTATCTCTGTCAGCGAAGACTGCTGCCCTCAGCATCACAAGCTCATTAGAGACCAGGTGTTAGTGATGAAAGCAGGTAAGGTCGGTGTGTATGCCTGCGTAAGGGTGTGTGTGTGTGGGATGGAGAATTTTAAGTCATGCTTGCTCTCTTTTCACAAGATCCGCATCCGCCCTATAGAATGTCGAGTCTACAGGGAGTTGCTTGTGCTGAGAAAGCAGTCTCTGTGTTTTAAGACAGAGTGGGGAAAGGAACTCATGTCTCTCTCTCTTTCTGTTCCACACAGACTACATTGTTTCTGAGCTATTCAAAATAAGGTCCATAGCTGAAGGTCGAAAGTAACTGCTGATGTTCATATTCAATCTTGAGCAGTATGGATATTAACCTACATATTCATGAGAGTCCGACTCAACAATAGACCCAATTGACATTGATTGTATTGACAAAAATCAATTTCTTTTGTGTTCCACAGAGGAAAGAAAGAATGTAATACAGCTTTGGAATGACATGAGGTGAGTAAATGACGACAGAATTTTCATTTTTGGGTGAACTATCACTTTAAGACAGAAATAGAGAAAGAGCAGCACACACCTGGCCCAAAAACATACGATGAATACTTGGTGCAGCCTTGGAGGTCTTGGAACAGACCAAAGCCAAGCTAGAACAGACGGAGAGAGGGAGTGACGGAGGGAAATGAAGGGGAGGGGGACGAACTCACCTCCTACATACATACATCTCACCTCATCAGTCAACATTCCCTCATG